TTTAAAATGAGTCCTCTTTTGGACACCTCAAAATCAGGGGTCAGTCTCCCGTATAAATGGAAGATAGAGGTGTGTGGATATGTTTTCTAAGTCTCTGCAAGTCGTAGCTGTACATTAGCAAGTCTGTATTGTTCCCTGCCCCACACACACACACACACACACACACATACACACATATACACACACTTCTCAGTGTCATACACAAAATGTCTTTACAGTATCTTTACCAGACCTTCAGAGTGTCATATAAAATCAAAGTAGGTGTCCTTCCCACAGGTGTCTTAGCTTCCTTCCATCATGCAAGCATCGTGATGAATTCCAACTACCTGTTGGCAGGTTTTTCTTACCAGACGGCAAGTGCCTTGAGAGCAGTATCTGTGTCTAGGATATGCTTACTTAGCACATTGTGAGTCTCAAGGATGCCTGTTGAGTGAACAGATGGATGATATGAGAGCAAATATGATAGGGCAAGATTAGCAGGTCTTGATTTAGTTTCCTGCAAGGGAACAAAAAGAGTTTTTAAGATTCTACCACTTTTTTTTTTTTAAGGCCAGAAAGCTTGAATTTTCTTGTGTTTCATATCAGTAGAGCCCGATTTGGGCGTATATGCTAGCTGATGCCACATTCATTTCCTCTTCTGTGCTCCCTGAGTCAGAGTCCCTCTAGGATGTGGGGGTGAGGAGCTGGATCCTAAGGTGCACCGGGGTGTCTTATGGCAGCGCCAGGCCCACAGCAGCATCATTCTTAGAGTGACTGACTGAATGAGCCCGTTTGGAATGAAGACATATCATTACATGAGGGAGTCAGGCCACTTCCGAAGCTAAGTGAAAACAGCCCAACCCATCAGCTCTCAGTCAGGACAACAGATGGACCTTACGTCTGGCTGGATGACAGCCACAGGATGGAAAGCTCCCACCCAACAGATGAAGGTTGGGTGGGTAGATCTGATGTAAAAACATTTCCAGGAAGAAGTGTTCAGAATAGAATAGACTGGTGTGACATCAGTGCCGAGTTGAGTGGGATGAGTCACTGGGGATGCCAGCAGTCCCTTTGTAGCTGCCCTGCAGACGTATCCATGGGTCATCCAGGTGCTGCTGCCCACGCTCCCATCACACACCGTGGCACGGTGCTTTCCACCATTGGGAGGTGGGAGTGTTCAGCTTATTCCTTAGAGAAAGTCCCGCCTGAGAAAGGCCAGCAGAGAACTCAAAGGTATCACAGATTTGCGGGGGAGGGGCTTCATTCCTCCTTCCCTAAATGGGATAGGATAATGCTCTACCTTGTTGCCAAAAACACTTGAAGCACCTAATGAAAACTCATGTAACAAAATGAGATTTAATTTAAAAGGTAAATCAGGTAGAAGGAGAAATAAAATGACTGCTTTTTTGAGACTAGAAGGAAAGTGAATATGCAGAAAGATATACCATAAGGTCCTGCGCGTTTGCTAAATTTAGGCCACTCATGCAAGTTCAGAGCTTCCTGGGCACTGAAGTAAAGGGAGAAACATGACTCTGAAAACAGGTGGGGACCATAAAATAAAGTAAAGCATCCCCATCTGTCTAGACCCTGGGGCCCGAAAGAAGTGTCTCTGGGGTGTCCTCATCAAGGTTACTAAGTGCTATTGTGGCAGTGTGGTCCATGACATCCCACAGTAATACCAGAGGGACTTGCTCAGGGCTGCTGCTTATACTAGATAGCTCTTAATACAAGAGAATGTAGCTCAGAAAAAGTGATTCCGTGGAACCAAAACAGTGCATTCCAGGTCCACAGCTCTCATGATCTGCTGTGAGAGAATTATAGATTATTTAGAACAGTGTTTGCCAAGTCATTCCACAGAACTCTAGTGATATGTTGATAGTCTATGACAACAAAGTAGATGCTAGAAACATTTAACATCTAACATTAAAAAACAAGGAAGAACACTATTAAGTACATCTGCGTAGTTAACATTACGATGCACTAATCTGTAAGGGAGGGTACAGGAAGTCTGTTGGAGATCTCTGTCCCAGCCTGTAGGGCGTGCCTCCTCCCCTTCCCCAGGCATGACATTCACATCCACCATTAGTGTATGTGCTGTCTGTCCAAGAATCACTGCTCTATGTTATGTACCTATTCCTACCCAGGATCTTTTATGCAGTGCATATCGTACATTAATCATGGATCAAATTTTTATCATTCCTTACAGCAATGGTTTTGTCTGTGAGGCCATTTTTTATTGTCTGCTTTCATCCAAGCATGTATTATAGCTCATGCTGGCCTATTAGCTGATTATAGTGTTGAAAGTGTTTGGTGATCATATAAATTCAGGAACTGCTGTTTCAGGAGAGTAGCTGGGCCACGGCCCTTCAGTGAGGTGCTGAGGCGGCAGTCCCTGAGCAGCACCTCCACGGGGTTCAAAGTTCTGTTCTGCGGATTAGGACTCATTTAACTATGCCCAGCATGCCTTGCACAGACTACAGGGTGAGCATCTCTTAAGAAAACTGAGGTACCCACTAGGACTGTGGCCCAGAGGATGTCACCCACTACCTTATGGAAGGGAGCCAGTGGGACCAATGGCAGGTTAAAGGTTTGACTTAAAGAAGGTGAAGCATTTGTCTTTGTGTATGTGATGTTACCCGGGAGTTGCAGAGAACTTGCAAAGAGAATTGCATTTGCTGGGAAATAATTACAGCTATGAACATTGACTTGGTGGTTACTACATGCTAGGCTCTGTGCTAAGCCATTTGCGTGTCTTATTTTACTTATTTAAGCACCTCCAAGAAACTATAAGTAGATATTATTATTATCCTCTTTTTATAGATGGAAAACTGGGAGACACAAAGAGGTTAAGAAATTTTTTTGATAAAATTAAGAGTTGAGCTGGCAGCAGTATTTAAGCCAGATTATAGATAATTCTAAAGCTGTTAGTGGCCTTTGGGTTCTAGAATAATCTTGTGGACTTTAGGGTGGCTGGTGTTTAGTCAACTGTCAACTTGGGCCAAGGGAGGTAAATAGACACGTTCATGGACTTTCCTTTGTTTTTCTTTCCAGCGTGTGAAGATGGCTATAGGCTTGAAAATGAAACCTGTATGAGGTAGGCTCCATGTTCATTCATTTGATGGGTTTCTTATGAACCTCATTTAGAAATTATTACTAAATTGCCTTAGTTATTTCTTCTGAGATTTGAAACCAATTCTCGTTCTTTTTCTTTGTTGACTTGCAGTTGCCCATTTGGCCTTGGTGGTCTCAACTGCGGGAACCGTGAGTATGCAGAAGTCCCCCGCCCCTTTCCCTTCCACCCTCCTCAGTTCAAATTCACTGTCTTCTTAGCTCCTCTGCTTCGAGGTATGAGAAAAGCAAAGAGTGCTCTCCAGGGGGCTCCAGGTCCCATAGGGGGGATATGCATGTTCCTAAATAGCCCTGACTGTGGAGTGTTAATGTAATATAACAAATGTGAGATTTGAGGTGTGTCAGGGGGGAGGGGCCATGACCTCCCAAGTCCTTCTCTGAGAGAGGGACTTGGAGGTTTTGGTAGATTTCGACTGGCAGGCATGGAGGGAGAAGTCAGAGGGAATAACTTATAGGTCTTGGAGCAGCCAGGCCCTGGTAATCCAGGGACAGTGTGTAAGTAGGTGTGGCTGAGGCTGGAAAGAGAGGAAGGCAGAGAGCGGAGGACTAGGTTGGCAGAGTCTAGGGGACCAAACTGCTGGAGTGTTGGATGGCCAGCCTGAGAATTTAGACTCTAATCAATATCCATTGTGGAACTAGCAAGTCTTAGAACAGGAAGGCAGTTTGAACAAGAAAATCAACGTGGGCTGCAATGAGAAGCATAGAGTGGACAGAGGAGAACATGGGGAGCTAGAGACTTCTAGTATAGTCACAGTCAGAGCTCAGGGCTAGAGACAGACTCAGAGGCATCTGCTCCAAGCTGATGGTGATGCTCCCAGAAGTGCAGAATGTAGTAGGGTGGCAGTAACTGTGTGCATGGTGTTCTATACTTAACATAGTTCTGTAAGGAAAGCAGTTGCAATTAGTTTAAGATCACTTTTACTGACATTTTCTTACACTGAGACCTGAGAAATTGAAAACACCCTCAAAATTATGAAAGATATTCTGGGATATAGGATGTAATGGGAATAATAACACTCAATGCTTCACTTAGGATAACTTTGTGCCTTATTCTATAGATGAACCTGCCAACAGTCCATATTCTAAGTTTACTAAACTAAAAGTGTCCATGAATTTATTTATTATGTGTAAAAGTCCCCAGTTTCTATTCCGCAATGGTATACCTTACATTTTATTTCTTTAGTGGCATTTTCCTTGCTCACAAATCTTTCTATTAGTAAGTTTCATTATTGGGCTTCCTTTGAACATGAATTAAAAAATAGATAAAATAATAAAATGAAACAAATTCAGTGCTAAGTACAAAACTGACATGAAGTTCTCAGTGTACTCAGCATTGAGCCACTGTCAGGCCGGAGTCTAGAGGTTTGGATTTGCATATCCACCCAGGATTACTGCTGACTTTGAGCATGAATTAGCAAGAGGTACAGATAGTCTAAGAGAAAGACTAGGGAAGCACTTCTAGAAGCAGATATATTTACAGTCATACAGAATAGAGAGAAAGGAGGCCACTGAATTCATGTTTTTGTTTTTTTTTTAAAGTAGCAACCTGAGGCCACCAAATGGTTGAGTGAACAACTCTATCTTCTTTAGTAGTCCCTAAGGACACCTTGGTGTCATAAAAGCATCTAAGCACAGACATTCATTATGATGGACCCAAGTCATGACGTACAAAATCATTAGCCGTGTCACCGTGCACTGATTTTTACTTACAACACTTGTGACATCAAATATGTGGGGGGTTTTACTATCTAGGGTTAGTGTCAGACCTCACAGGTCAAGGGATCGGTCCCACAAGACTGCTCCTACCTCAGACACCAATCTCAAGTCTGGACCTCCAGTACTTCTGACCAACCAGCTATAAATCAGGAGTTCCCATGACCCCCTCCTCAGATTCGGTAATTTGCTAGAACAGCTCACAGAACTCAGAAGGCACTTTACTCACTATATAAAGGATGCAGCTCAGGAATCGACAAGTGGAAGAGAGGCATAGGGCAAGTAGTGGGGCAGGAAGAGTTCTGAGCTTCCACACCCTCTCTCGGCACAGCACACTCCCAGCGCCTTTATGTATTCACCAACTCAGAATTTCTCTGAATTCCATCGTTTAGGGTATTTGTAGAGGCCCCATTACATAGTATTGATTGATTAAATCATTAGCTATTGACCGTTGGAGGTGTGGGGGTGGGGCTCTCTAATCACGTGATTCGTTCTTTTGGCAACCAGCCCTCATCCTGCAGGTGTCACCTCATTAGCATAAACTCAAGTATGGTTGAAAGGGGCTTGTTTTGAATAACAAAAGATGCTCCTCCCATCCCTATCTCTCTGAAATTCCAAGGGTTTTAGAAGCTCTTATGCAAGGGATGGGGGGTGAAGATCTTATGTCACAGTATTACAAGTATACTCAGTTTAATAAGGTGAGGAAGTTATACTTTAGACTTTTTAAAAATTAAAAAGTAGTCAAAATTCCTTGTGTCAGTGCTCAAAACGGCAGGCTCCAGGTTTTGGAGATTTGGCTTATGAAAAACAGTCTGGATAGCAGCTTATCTCCTTTTCTAAAAATCACAATTTAGACAAGCCAAAGTCTCACCTGGTTTTGTGGACTTTATACCCTATGTTCAGGAAGATATCTGCTGTTAAAGGGGCTGGGGGGGGTACAGAATGGCCTTTGTTGACTTTCTAGTGGGAATCTCACTCCTCACTCAAAACTAGAACCAAAAGTGTGGAGTGGCTGGCACATAAGAATAGATCAAAGAAAGCCTAGGACTTTTAAATGTGGAAAAAGGAGGCTGAAGGGTCAAGCAAAACATTGGAGATATTTGAGATCTGTGCCCCTAATGCTGGCATACCAGAACTAAATGGTATACAGTCTTTTAGAAGAGATAGTTTTAGGGATCACAGTGTGATAGCACCATGAACCTGCAAACCTTATCCTAAGACATTAGCAATATTTATAAAAGAGGCTTAGATAATATTAATAAAGAATAATTTAAATGAGGGAGATTACAATAGAGTTTTACCATATGTACAAGAAACTTGTTAGAATACAATCCTATCAGATGGTGAAGAAAGAGAGAGTGAGCAAGACAGGTGAGGAGTGTGGAGCTGTGGCAGCTCTTGGGGTACGCCAGGGAACAGGAGGGGAGAGATGCCATCTGCCAAGACCTCCTGGGGCCTCTCAGCCCTGACAGGCCTTTTGTAGAATGAGCCAATACTTCAAACCTGCTGTAGTCAAATAGCTTTCGAAGCAGGTTTTACCAGAAAATGCTCTATTTCTCAATGAATGGAAGAGTGATCTATAGAGGGAAAATGGACACAGGGGAAGGCCCTATAAAGGGCTAGAGGAAAGGTGAGTGAGCTACAGGGCATTGTTCTAAGTGGCAGTTAGTGAGTTGTTTTTTTTTTTTTTTTTAGAGCTCATTAAATACTGTATATATCTAGAAATGATATATCCTTACATCCATTGACTATTCTGTAAGTTCTTGTGTCTCCCCATTATGTGTGGGGGGGGGGTCTGGTAAGTAGCCAGGATTTCTCTCTGATCCTGAGACTTCTTTTTCCTCCCTTTTTATCCAAGTCATCATTGTTATGTCCAGCAGAGGGCACATTTCCGGCTCGCTCCTGGCCATCTTTTGTTGGTGACTTTTGTTAACTCTGTGATCATGTGTGAATATTACTTTATGATTTTGATATCTATATTAGTTTTAGTGTTGCCAAGCAATTAATAGTGACTGATAACAAATCATACCTGCCACCTGCCCCTTTCCCTGAAGTTCTGACCAGCCCTGGGTGTTGGTTAAGGAATCAGGAACACCTGAACTTCATCTCCGTCTGTGGCAATGACATCTGTGGCTTGTCGCTCAATATTTTGTGCCAAATAACAGGGTTCCGATCACTCACCACTGTCACCACCAAAGACGGTGAGTGCCTTCGTGGGACTGTAGCTTAGGCTGGTTTGTTGTTGTTGTTGTTGTTGTTGTTGTTGTTGTTGTTGTTAGACGGCAAATGTTTCTTCTCTCTGCAGACTTCTTACAGCACACACTCTACCCAAGGTCAATGAGATGGGAGCCCAGCTTTGTCCAGCTAAGCCATATCTTGAGATTCCCTCACTCATGCATTCCTGGGAATCATTCAACTCCACTATAGTCTGGGTTAGGCATCAACTACGACCCGTCTTTCTAAAAGCCTCTGTTCGCTTTCTACTTGTGTCCAGGTTGCACTCCTTATTCCTCGCAGAGAATACCCTTCAAACTGGAGGGAGCAGGACAAGCCATTCTTTCATGTCCTTTAGTCCCTGAGGTAGTATGAGCCCAGCTGGACTCAAGTGTCCACCTGGCAGGGCCACCTACACCTGGGCAGCTCAGGTTGCACCTGTTTTATCACTGCTCTTCTTTTAATTTTCTATGTAAAAAAAAAAAAAAAGTCTCTGTTTATACCCCAGATTTCAACAATTCTGTCTTATACCACTTGTCCAGTGGCCCCAGAATTCTCCTGCAAGCTTATCAGAAATGTCCCTCTCTTCCCCTTGGCCGCCCCCTCCCTTTTCTTAGGTGTGTATATTCCCTTCTTTGCCCAAATTTTAGATTGGCTTCTCCTCACAGTGTTGTTATATCTCCCATGACATCTTGATTTGCTTCACCTTTTTTCTCTTTGTAAAATAAATTTTGGGTTGTTTTTTTTTTTATAACATAACACATGCCCATTGATTTTTATTTTTTAATCCAAGTTAATTAGAAAATAAATATAAATTAAGGGAACAAGAAAACTAAAACAAGCAGTTTCCTCGTCCATTAAACATCACTGTTAATATTCTGGTCTATATCCTTGCTACTGAGTGTGGTCTACAGCAGCGGTCCCCAACCATTTTGGTGCCAGGGACCAATGCTCCTATGAGAATCTAATGCCTCATGATCTGAGGTGGAGCTGAGGTGGTGATGCTAGCGCTGGGGAGCGGCTGCAAAAACAGATTAAGCTTTGCTTGTGGCCCACTGCTCACCTCCTGCTGTGCGGCCTGGTTCCTAACAGGGCACAGACTGGTACTGGTCCATGGCCCCGGGAGTTGGGGACCCTTGATCTATAGGACCAGCAGTATCAGCAGCCCCTAGGAGCTTGTTGAAAATGCTTAATTTCAGGCCTTT